GTCTTTGCACTGCACACATACACAAATGATTGGATGTGTGAAAACAAAGGTAAAGAGTCACACTCAAACATGAAAGGTAAAATACTCTACTAAGCCATGAAATTAAAATAACTCCATTACCGTTTACACTTTCAGCTGAGAACATGGCAACACCATGTGTCTGTGTCACATAAACTGTCTAAACACAGTGTCACGTTTCCCTCACAGTGCTAGTGAATGCCCAGCCAGTAATTAGGGCTTGTTTGGATGATTGAACCATGTCATGTTAGAGGTGGAGCAGAGAACCAAACATTTCTACAGGCTCCGTAATAACAAGCTAAGTCTGCCCTGAAATGACATCTGGCTAACACACACTTTAACTCACACACATTTGTGTGTAAATGCATGTGTATCTGTGTGCGTGGATGTATCTGCCATCTTAGTTTGTGTATGTCTCAAAAGTACTTCACAGTCTGTGTGGCTTTCAAAGTCTGAATACTGAATCTGATTTTGTGTGTGTGTGCGTGTGTGTTGCCTGAATGTGTGTACATGTTTAATTGCTACATAAACTAGTTTGACACCCACAAACAGGACAGAGTTGCTGTAAATTTGTAATGGTGGTGATGGCATCTTTCTATTTAGAAAATTCCACTAATGAGCAGTGATGTGTAAAAATGTCACAAAACCCATAAGAAAAAAGAAAGGAGAAGATGATCATAATGTCTGGGAATGGGAAGCTTGGAGCAAAAACACAAAGTTTACGACCAAAACTGTCACCAAAATGCAACAAATTGGGCCCAAATAATTAGCATGTGTATGTAACATTTAGGAGGATCTATAGGCAGAGATGGAATATAATATTCATAGATATGTTTTCCTTAGTTTATAATCACCTGAAAATAAGAATAGTCATGTTTTTGTTACCTTAGAATGAGCCGTTTTTCTCTACAGAGGTAGATGGTCCTCTTCTATGGAGGCCGTCATGTTGAACCGCCATGTTTCTACAGTAGCCCACAACGGACAAACCAAACACTGGCTCTAAATAGGGCCCTGTCCTGTTAGTGTCATCTGATTATTACAGCACCACAAGTGCTGTTTATGCAATTTACCCCCATGCTCTCTGCACTTGGCAACATTAATTATTGATGGAAACCGACATCAGCAACAAATGGTCAGCTGCCAGCTTGACACTGCACCCAAAAGGAATCCATAAGAGAAATGTGGTGTACATTCTAGTGGTGGGCAATGTGGACATACTGTACACTTAATAAACTATACTGTACAGTTGCCAGTTTATTAAGTACACAGTCTAATATAACAGCCCTGCAATAAGTCCTTCCTTCAAGGTTATAATGTTCTGTTTTTGTTGAAACTGTTACAGAGTGGTGTTGATTTCACTGTGTGGTCATTTTGGATGCTTCAGTTTGTGGTGCTGTTCAACTGTATGGCATTATACTGACAGGTTTTCTTATTATTTTGTCTGCCCATTTATATCAGTGAGGTTAGGCTGAATGACAGAAACACATCTCTCTGTCTGTCTCTGTACCCAATAAACTAGCAATTGTGTGTATTTATAACCGTATGTATAAAATGAAATACGGTTAGGTATATGTAACATATGTCATTTTATATTAGTGTATAACATGATACTGTAAAACTACAAGTGTTAAAAGACAAAAAAAACTGATTGGAAGGTTTGCTTTTTGGCAGAAAAGCAAATTAAAATGTGAAATTAAAAGAGACACAATAAGAGACCGATAACTTGGTATAAATGGTAAATGAAAGTCTCCGACCACAGCCCCATTTCTACTGTCTCACCAGTCGATATCATCACATCACCCAACCTCATACGGGTCGTTACACTGTACTGAAAACCCAGGGAAGACAGAGACATTAACAAAAGGCTTCAATAAGTCCATAATAGCGCTGTATAAGGCCTGAGCCATATGGCACATGGTGTTGTCAATGTTTCATTTTCTCCTTCTGTAGTAACATGCATGCACTCATTACAACAAAAACACATGTGAAAGCTGTCAGGAGACTTTGGGCCTCCTCCACCTCCTCCAGCGGCAATTAGCAACTAACAAAACATTTAGGAGGCTTCTCAGGACAGTCACACATCCTCTCAATTCCTCAAGAAAAAGCAGAAGAGGTTCGAGGTGCAATGAAAAATGCAGCAGAAAAGATTTACCTTGCCTTCAAAGCGCTGTTAGAAAAGACCTGTTGCAAGTGATTCATCTCATGTGCCAGCAAAAGCAGACAATGCGGTCTAGTAGTACAGGTATAAAAAGATTAACTAGGAACATTTGCAGACTTGCTCTTTGTTAGGCAAGCACCCTGATACAATGGCACAGAACAAGCAAATGACTCCCACTCTCACCACCACCCTCAGTGAATCAGGCCTCGCTGTTTGATTTCTAGACCTCACCAATGGACAAAAGCAGAATTGTCTTTATAGCGACACATCAGCTGACAGAGCTTTGTGGTGACTGAGCCGGTTTGTTTTTAAAAGGTACAGCCGATAACACAGGGGTGGAAAGTTCAGGTTAACTGGAAGGCCGGTCTGCCCTGGACGTTCCAGGATTTGCCTATCTGGATAGGAGCCGTGTGAATAATATACTATCAAAAACCTAATCTACAGTATCAGGAGTGTGTA